AATAACGGTATGAGGCCGCCAAAAACAAATTCCAACTTACAATGCAAACAACATCAGCTGGCAGAGCTCTCCCCCTGCCTTCCAGCCCACAAGCCCACATGCCTGGGAGGGACAGCAAAGGCAGGGGGGGGGGATCTGGATCTCCAGCTTGGTCACACAGGCAGGAGGAAAAGGATGGAGTCACAGTGCAGGAAAGAAGAGTGAATGAGCCGAGAGGAAGGGAAGTTAGGGTTATTTGGAGCTAAGATCCTGAAACAGACAGAGGCAGAAGCTTTAGAGAACAACATACAAAGCAGACACAGTGGACATGGGGAGAGTTTGCAAGAACAGAAAATCATGAAGATTTAATAGATTTAAACAGGTTAACAGAGTTGGAAGGGACCTTATAGGTCATCTAGTCCAACCCCACACCCAAGCAGGAGACCCTACACCATTTCTGACAAATGGCAGCCCAATCTCTTCTTGAAAGCCTCCAGGGATGAAGCTCCCACAACTTCTGAAGGCAACTTCTGTTCCATGGGTTGATTGCTTTCGTTGTCAGAGAATATCTCCTTCTTTTCAGGTTGAATCTCTCCTTGTTCAGTTTCCATCCATTATTCCTTATCTGGCCTTTGGGTGCCTTGGAAAATAGCTACACCCCCCCTCCTCCTCTCTATGCCAGCCCCTCCAATGTTGGAGCACTGCTCTCCTGTCTCCCCTGGTCCTTTTCTTCCCTAGACTAGCCAGGCCCAGTTCCTGCAACCGTTCATCGTATGTTTTAGTCTCCAATCTCCTAATCATCCTGGTTGCTCTTCTCTGCCCTCTTTCTAGAGTCTCAACATCTTTTCATAAATGAACAGAATAGAGTAGACACACAAGGAATTTGTCTCCAGTGCAGAAGTTCTCCATGTACATGCAGAGCAACAAAACAATACAGATAGTTCTCAACTTAAAACTGTTTAGTAATTGTTCAAAGTTATAGTGGCATTGAAAAAAGTGACTTATGACAGTTTTCACGCTTTATGACCATTGCAGCATCCCCATAATCACATGATCAAAATTCAGATGCTTGGTAGCTGACTCCTATTTTTGACCGTTTCAGTGTCCCAAGGTCAGGTGATCTTCTTTTGTGACCTTCTGACATGCAAAGTCAATGGGGAAGCCAGATTTACTTAACAACCCGTTACTAACTTAATAACTGCAGTAAGACCCCATACCATTTCAGACAAGGGACTCTCCAGTCTCTTCTTAAAATCTTTCTGTGATGGAGCAGCCACGATTTCTGGACGAAAACCGTTCCACTAGTTAATTGTCCTCACTGTTAGGAAGTTTCTCCTTAATTCCAGATTGCCTCTTTCCTTGATTAGTTTCTATCCTTTGCTTCTTGTCTTTCCTTCCAGTGCTTTGGAAAATAAGTTGAGCCCCCCTCTTTGTGGCAGCCCCTCAAATACCAAAATACTGCTATCATGTGTCATGCCCCTGGTGGAGACTGACTCCGAGGGAGAGGAGGAACAGCCAACAGGGAGTAGAAGTGTGGCTCCGGAGGTTGTGGAGGAGGCTGGGGAAGGGCAGAAGCCAGCTGGGCAGTCAGAGGAAGACCCAGGCCCATCCCCTCTCCATCCTAAGGCATGCAGGGAGGAGAGGATAAGGGAGAGACGTGAATGGCATGGTCTACGGGGGAGGAAAGGGCCTTGATCCTCTTCATGGGCTGCAGTAGTGAGAACTGGTTAAAAGGATGGACATGCGTATGGGCCAGTGCTGGAAACAAAGCATGGAAATATCTCTAGTCTGTCGTTCCTCTCTGAGTTTGCCGTCCTTCCCAGTGTGTGTTCCAATATCTGTGGACATCTTCAAGCCCTAATCTTGCCTGGTTCCCTTAATTGCTTCAGTGTGGTTTGTGTCGCTTTTACTCTTTATAATTTCTAGGCATTTTTAGTTTAAACAGCATTTCCTCCTTTTCATAACTGCTTGTGGGGGAGTTTTTTGTTTCCAGTTAAGGATATTTGGAGCTTTGAAGCAAAGTGAAGGAATAAAAGGGGCTTCACTTGTTTTTGTGACTGTGTTTATTTAGTATCCCACCCTGGGTCATCACATCATGTCTCCCCTAGACCTTTTCTCTAGACTAACCAAACTCAAATCCTGCAGCCGTTTTCATATGTTTTAGTCTCCGGCCCTTTAATCATCTTAGTTGTTCTTTTTCACCCTGTTCCCTGAACTTTGAGCATTTGAGTCCTTTATGGTTCCTGGATGTGTTTATTATATCTTCTCCTTTTATTTGGGATTTCCATCCTTTCTATCACTCTCTACTTCACTGTGTTTTTCCT